AGGAGCGGGAGAAGGAGCGGGAGAAGGAGCGGGAGGAGCGGGAGGAGCAGGAGGAGCGGGAGAGGGAGTGGGAGAAGGAGCGGGAAGGGAAATGGGAAGCGGCGGAGGAGGCGTGGGAGGAAGAGCGGGAGAAGGGGCGGGAGGAGGAGCAGGAGGAAGAGCGGTAGGGGAAACGGAGAGCGGGTTAGGAGCGGGAGACACGGGAGGAGCAGGAGGAGGAGCGGCAGGAGGAGCAGGAGTGGAAAGGGGGAAGGGGTTAACGAACGTGCGGGAGCTGGTAGGGAAAGCGGAAGGAGGGAAGGGAGGAAAGGGGTGGGGGGAGGAGGGGTGGATGGGGACTCACTCTCTCTGTCTCTCTCTCTCTCTCACACACACACACACACACACCCAGTCGATCAATCAATCAATCAATCTATTCAATTGATAAATTGATTGATTGATTGACTGATTTTTCGTTTTCTGTTCGGAAAAATCGGGCGGGTGGAGGGTTGACGGGAGGCATGGGAGTGGGTTGATTGATTGATTGATTGAATGATCGGAAAAAAAAAAAAAAAAAAAAAAAAAAAAAAAAAGATCACCCTGTTCTCCTTTTTAAAGGCTTTTTTGTTGTTGTTTTTCAATCAATCAATGGTTGATTGATTGATTGATTGGGGAAGGAAAAACGAAAACGTGGCTGGAGAAGCAGCGGGAGGAGCGAGAGAAGGACCGGGAGGAGCGGGAGGAGGCCCGGCAGGAGCGGGAGGAGGAGGAAGAGCAGACGAGGAGCAGGAGGAGGTGCGGGAGGAGCAGAAGAAGGAGCGGGAGGAGGAAGAGGATGAGTGGGAGGAGGAGCGGGAGGAGGAGGAGGAGGAGGAAGAGGAGGAGCAGTGGGAGGAGCAGGAGAAGGAACGGCAGGAAACGGGGAGGGGGGGCTAACGAAGGCGCGGGAGGTGGGTATGAAAAGTGGAAGGAGGGAACGGAGGAGAGGGGTGGGGCGGGGGAGGAGTGGACGGGGACTCTCTCTCTCTCTCTCACACACACACACACACACTCCTCTCCCCCTCCTCCACCGCCGTCTCCCCCCCCAAACCCCCAACCCTCCCCCGACGCTGCGGCAGGTCCACTTGTTCTCAGTAAAGAAGAGATTGTTATCACAGTACTGTGACCCCCAGTTGAGGGAGAGTTTGCCTATCGAGCTGGGATCTGTCATTTCATGAATACGCTCTTGTTGTCCTCCTTGCTTCCAGAGATATACATTTGTCAGTCTGACAAGTTCTGACAAAAATGCAGCTGCTGAAAGGTGTGTCGAGTCAGCATCGGACCTTCCAGAGCTATTTCACGTATCTGGTGAGACCATCAAAACCAGCATTAGGTCTGCTGGTTGACTGTCCCCCAGCCTCGCCCACTGTCTCCCCTAAACCAACCTCAACCTGCCCACCCCAGAAGACGAACCTCCTGTTGCGAAAATTCTGTTCCGGTCCAATGCAGGTCTAAACCTGGATGGAAACCAGCATCGTGAGCTCTCGTGGTTGACTGACTCCTGTGCCCTCTCACTAACCCAACCCCACCTCAGCCCATCTCAGAAGCACCTGAGTGGTCAGCATTGCGATGTGGTTCTCGACTAGACCAGTCCCTTAGCATGGCCCCTGAGCAAGGAGGGCACACATAAATCGAGAAATGGTCCATTTTTTTATAATCTCTACCTTATTATTATCTCTATACTTTTTAAAATTAAAACGGGCCCACCATAATGGGCGGGTGCGGGCCCAATGAAAATCAACGTAGGGGCGCGCTGCCTCGGCAGGGGGCCCAAGGGAGGGACAGGCTGTCAGGCTGGGACGGAGCGGGTCTGGCCGCACAGGATTGAGGTGGGGGGCGACGGTTGGCAAGGTGGCGGTGGGCCCGCGAACCGACGCAACACTGGGAAAGGGTGGGGCGGGGCGGGCCGGAAAGAATTTGCGCAGGGGGGGAAAGGGCCAGATCGGTCTATGCAGGGGCGCATTCGGATCGTGCAGCCACATACGTGCATCGCGTTCACGCCCAAGCTGCGCATTGCGTGCGCATTCGAGATCGCGGGGAGCGAGCAAGAACGGGAAATTGCTGGCACGCAGCAACAGCGAGATCGTGCATGGCATGGAGGCAGGCGTCATCACAGCGAGAGGGAGAGAGAGGTGGGGAGGTAGAGAGATCGCCGGGTGCAGTTCGGAATAGGGGAAGGAGGAGGTTGCAAGGGGGAGGAGGACATCGTGCAAGTGGAGGAGGAGGTCGGAAGAGAGTTTGGAGGAGGTCTCACCAGGGAGAGGAGGAGGTTGGAAGAGGACGTGCGAGGGGCAACGATCGCCGTGATCTCTCTCTCTCTCTCTCTCTCTCTCTCTCTCTTTCACACACACACACACACACACACACACACACACACACACACACACACACACACATACACACACATGTGACAGTGCGGGTTCGGGAGGCCCGAGTTTTTCGCGTGCTTCTATTCAGGCGCCGTTTGGAGAGTGGGAGGAGGAGGTTGCGTGAGGGGGAGGAGGAGGTTGTGCAAGCGGGAGGAGGAGGTTGCAAGAGGGGAAGGAGGAGGTTGCGAGGGGGAGGAGGAGGTTGTGCAAGTGGGAGGAGGTTGTGAGAGGGGAAGGAGGAGGTTGCAAGGGGGAGGAGGACATCATGCAAGTGGAGGAGGTCGGAAGAGAGTTTGGAGGAGGTCACATGAGGGAGAGGAGGAGGTTGGGAAAAGGACGTGCGAGGGGGAACGATTGCAGTGAGCTCGCTCTCTCTCTCTCATACACACACACACACACACACATACACACACACAGACACACAGAGGAGGAGGTCGGAAGAGGGGAAGGAGGAGATTGCGAGGGGGAGGAGGACATTGTGCAAGTGGAGGAGGAGGTTGCGAGGGGGAGGGGGACATCATGCAAGTGGAGGAGGTCGGAAGAGAGTTTGGAGGAGGTCGCATGAGGGAGAGGAGGAGGTTGGGAAAAGGACGTGTGAGGGGGAACGATTGCGGTGAGCTCTCTCTCTCTCTCATACACACACACACACACACACAGACACAGAGGAGGAGGTTGGAAGAGGGGAAGGAGGAGATTGCGAGGGGGAGGAGGACATTGTGCAAGTGGAGGAGGAGGTCGGAAGAGAGTCTGGAGGAGGTCGCACGAGGGAGAGGAGGTTGGAAGAGGATGTCAGAGGGGGAGGAGGAGGCCGTGCAAGGAAGAGGTCCTGCAAGGGGGAAGGGGGATGAGGAAGTGGGAAGAGGACGCGTGAGGGGGAGGAGTCGGTCGTGCAAGGGGGAGGAGGAGGTCGAGCAAGGCGGAGGAGGTCGAAAGAGGGGGAGGAGGTCGCGTGAGGGGGAGGAGAGGGTCGCGCGAGGGGTAGGAGAAGGTGGGAAGAGGGGGAGGAGGTCGCGTGAGGGGGAGGAGGAGGTCGGAAGACGATGTGCGAGGGGGAGGAGCAGGTCATGCAAGGATGAGCAGGAGGTCGCAGGAGGGGGAGGAGGAGGTTGCACAATGGAGAGGAGGAGGTCGGGAGAGGGGGAGGAGTAGAACAAAAATGATGACGGCTGGAGGAGAATCGAGGATGGAAGCAGAGGAGGAAGGAGTGATCCTAATGATGATGGCAGCAACCCTCATGGGCACGGCGACGACCACTGCGATCGAGGGACGACGAGCACGAGGAGAGGCCGCGATGGGACCGCGCAAACACAGCATGCACACACGCGGTGATGGAGAAAAGAGGAGGGGGTTGCTTTGCAGAAATTTTGACTGTTTTTTGTTTTTTTTTGTTTCCCGCTTCTCAATCTTTGGACTGTGTGATTACGACTGCTTCCGCCCCTCCCCCCCACCCTGCAACTTCGCCGCAGCATAGCTGCGGCAGGTCCACTTGTTATATAGTAAAGAGCGAGCCCCGTCTAACGCCCCCAGCCGGGTCCAGCAGAAACTGAGGGTGGGCGGGACTGTTGGGGTACTGCAGGGCCGCATTTTGTTTGTGTTCCAATACAATTTTACATAACGAGGTTGCGACCTCTGTTTGGGGCTCCCGAACGTTGTTGCCGGCCGTTTTTTTTTTTGTTCTTGCCCGATAGTGTCCGGATCTCGGAGTTGGTGCACCCTGGAGCGGTTTCATCTCGCCCGGGGCGTCTCGCATGTACAAGTGCTTAGCAAGGTTGCGATTTCTGTTTGGGGCTCCCCGGTGTTGTTCTGGATGTCCACAATCCTCGCATGCGTCATTTCGGATCTCCGAGTTGGCGGGCCGGGGAGCGGTTCTGTTCCGTATGGGCAAGCTCGCATGTTCGAATACACATACATAGCGAACTCGCCGGCCTTGCCCCACCACTCAGCCGGTATTCAAAAAGGCGCTGTATCTTTCCATGTTCTAATGTTCTAGCAACAGATCTGTTCTCAATTCACATATTTGATGAGCAGTTGCGAGGCTCCAGGCCTCAGCAGACCCCGAAAAGGGCCCCAGCTGAAAGGCTGGTTGTGGAAAAATGCCGCGGGGCCCCTATGTAAGGAGCCGGATGCCCTGACCCCACGCCCGACAGTGACATCACACTGTGGGGCAGTTGAGTATAGGCCAGGCCGTGCTGTGTGACTGGGGTGTCATGGCTGGCAGAGACTCTCGCTGGCTGTGATGTGGCAAAGGGCCTC